GAAAGATCATCAGCTGCGTATGTTGTTTCCATCGATGTATTAAAATATCGTTTAGATAAATACTGTTTAAAGATATATTGATAAGTGTTAAATATTTTCTCGTCGAAGAATATTTTGCTTGCGGGTAAAAGGTGACCGGCTATCTGATATGTGCATATCGCTAACCGATTTTGATTCAACATAATTTCACGTTCACCAATTTCACAGTATAATCGTAATATCGATAGTGGACTACTTGATTCGTTTAATTCTTTAGCTCTGTTTCTGTCGTCTAATGCTAACTTGTCGTATTTCTCATTAATATCAGCTATGGTAGCAAGCTCGTTTATGTCAGTACTTTCCAATCTGATGCGCTTATTGAATGTATTTAACTTTTCGTCCCATTCAATGGTTTTAAAAAAAAGTTGTTGTTCTTTGTAGATGTCACTAATTTTCCGGCTAATGAGTGTAAGTATTTGATAGTTCTTGGAATCATTCGCCTCGGCAAATGCAAAGACTTTTTCATAGCTACTGACTAATAGAATTCTTAGCTTTTCCATATACATTTCGGCTAAATGATCGTATAATTGAAGAAAGATGTTATTGTCAGTTGGAAATTTTGATTGCAAGATATGCAATAATGTTATATATCTGTTTTCTGCTATGTTTAATATCCATATTGGTTCAGCAGCTTTCAGCAGTCTAAACAATATCACAGGATCAAATGGTTCACATTTGATGTAACATTCAAATGCTTTCGAATATTCTCGCTGTCTCTCGTATATTAAATATATATGCTGATATAGTGATTTTAAAAGATGGTGTTCACTAGGTATGCATCCAAGAGCAAGTTCGAATGCTTTATCACAATCCTTGTCCAGATAATTGTTAGTGTTATACGTCTTTTTGTCATTTAATTGAAGTATTATATGCCAGTATGTTCCCACCTGCTCAACCGAAATAATAACAAATGAAGTAGTTAGTGGAAATAATATTTCATTTTCATGTTTAAAATTCGATAAATTACAGACATTAGCATAAAGATTCGACTCTACTGAACAATTCACTTTTATCTCGATCATTACAGATTCAAGTGGAGAACTATTTGAGTTTTGTTCACAATACAGTAAAGCTATTTCCGACGCGGTAGTAGTTGATAAGAATCCTTTAAATAATATTTTGCACCCAACTCGCTGTTTTAGCAAGTGTAACTCGTGCAAAGACATCAGTTGGCCACGATAAACTGAGAACTCATCTTCATGCTGTGTCTCATTTGTAATAGTAGTCTGTATACATCCATACTTCTGACAATAAGAACGTCTATTGACAAGATACAAATAACGATCTTTTTCATATAAGATGAGTAATTGTTTGTATAAATCAACAATGTAAAATCGAAATTTTAATATGACATCAATATTTTCTGTTCGCAATGCTTTATTTACTAATCGATAGACAAAAGAGTCTTTCGTGTACCACAACACTGCGTCATCGAATTTATATGTTGTCTCAAATTGATCAATTTTACGGAGTTCGATTTTGTTACCTTGATAATATTTCCTACATTCTTGTATTAGCTCATCTCTCTCATATTTTGTATGTGGTATTTCGGTTAATATTTCAAGTAGTAACTGATAGAAACGAAATGTGGAATTATCGTCACTAGACCAGTCTTCTATGGATGTTTCATCGTCTTCTTTAAATATACACGTGCTTACAATGTTAAAAATGGTTAGGTAACTGCCTTTACTATCGTGCCTTAGTTTCATTAATAATGGATCAATGTCAACGAATACTCCACGTATTTTAGAATAGTTTGAAGCCCATCGAACATGTTTATCGTACTCTGCACAGAAAACATAGATACAGATGATTTGTGGTAGTTTGTGTATAAGTCGAGTAATCTCTTCGCCGAATTCACCTGATGTAATTAAGAAAACCTTTTCAGTTGTGACTGTTGAAATATATTTAATGCATTCCTCTATATTTGTACAAATCGTCAGGTAATCAATAATTCCACGAAATGCTGTAATTGTCTTTGCACAATAACTATCTCTGGTACCCAACGTGACGTCAAGCCAAACAAGAGCAAGTTCTTCAAGGTTATCGGATGAATTAAAAGACGATAGAACGGTTTCAGAAGCAAAAGATCGTGAGGATCTTATTAATGCCATAACATGTTAACCAAAAATGTAGTGTATTGAGGATTAGGTTCGTTTATAAATTAGTTCTCGATTTGTTGATAATGAGAGTAAGCCTAGGTAAAAAAATCAATGATTGTATTATATAATTTAATTAGTGAACATAAACTGAAATACGATTGATTACTATGAAAGGTCAAACATGTATCTAGAACGTACATCTCAAAAAGTTCGATCGTTTTTTTGTTTCTACCAAATAATATAAGGTACTCGCAACTCCAAGTACAAGTAAAATTTTGTTGTTGTTTCCCTCATACATGACTCTACAAAAATTGATCAGCTGGTTAATAAAAAAGTTATTTTGGGCTTTTGTGAATATCTTTTTCAGATCTTCAAATCTATATGACGTTCTCTAAGGATTTCTTAGAATTTCATTTAAATGTTGCGAAATAGAGTGTGAATGTCGATGTAATCAGTATAACACACATCCACACCTTGATATTTTCTAATGAATGAAATAAACCATTCATTTAAGGATGAATGCGGGCGTGGTTGCAGATATGTGCATACTGTGCCTGTGATACCTACAACCTTTTTTTCACTTTTTAACCATGAAAAGTAGATTTTCAGGTCTACAAGTAGTCTCAATAGATAAAGGATATCAATATCTATATTTATATAGCCGCAAAAAAACGCAAATTGTTTTTCGTGAAAAGGAGGGGAGCTCCTTTTAGACGAGAAACATTTTCAGATTACTTACTCTTCAAATCTTAGTCGGCAGTAGTTTTGAAATGAAAGAATGTAACTTACAAGAGTCACACCACTTTTATACGGCTGTCTGTTGAAAAAAATTTCAATGAATTATTCACGGTGAGTTAATATTTGCCTTTGTCTGTTGTTAATATATCAATGCCAAATAATGAGAAATTTTATACATCAATAACAAAAGAAAAGAGAAAAATGTCTACGACGCATTATAACTCTCAGCTTCTTATCTTTACAAACGTTTGAGATTTTTGTTGTTGTTATTGCCGCTAAGGATAACGTTTATGAATTTAAAGAAAAAACGTAAATGAATATGAATTTAGTAATAAATAGACGTCTCTGACAAGGATAGATGAAAGTAGTTATCAGTAAGCGATGGATCTTTCTTGTTTCGTTTTTAAGTGAACTTTTCTTAGAGATAGAATAAATACAAGGTCGATGTTTTTGTGTGACAGGGAAAGGATTTTTTCTATTGGAAGGATATATATATATATATATATGTAAAGAAGAATGCCTGTGTGTCTACCAGTCTGTTCTTCATGCATTTGGTCTTTGAAAGAGCTAGTGTCACCAAACTACCAATGGGATACCCTTCGATTCGTGGAAGGTCAACGACTACTTTATACCGAAAAAAACTCGATCTTCCGGCTGCAAAAGGTCGGACTGCATTCCAGATCAATGAGATTGCAGCATTCAATAGTATAGGAGGAGTATTTAATAATACTCCGTGATAAAACAGATGACAAACCACCGCAGGCTCGCGAGACCAGTAGCTCCGAGTGTGGGAAAGAGAGTGAGTGAGTTTGAGTGTGGGTTTGGATGTCGATGAAGGGTGTGGATGTGTGCGTACTGTATCTTTGATACCCACACCCACTCGCACACATACCCTCTAAATACATTCACAGTGTCAGATGCATTTAGAATTCCTGTCACGATGTTATATTTTACTGTTCTTTAACTGTTTGATAGATGAATTGTAAAATTTTCTATTCTTCATATAAGTTGTTTTTATTCTCTGCATTTGACTGCTATTCAGTAATAAAAGAAAAAATATCTTGATATTGGAGAACATAAGCAAATATTTAATCTGAATATGCATTTGTCAAGTTGGAAGAAACGTTGTATTTTCGAATGACGTTAGTGATATACATTACAGCGTGGAACATGATAAGTTGCTAATAATACTTGTTCTTTTTCGTCTTCAAGTTTTATTTTTTATTTTTCCTGTCTGTAAGGCAATATTCCTCCCAAGACTTTTACGTGAATGTACAATTTTTATAATTATTTAAATAATGAAATACTTGGGTTTTTGCGAAAACTAAGATATTTCATCGTCAGGGTATGGGTATGAGTGTGGGTAGTGGACGGATATGGGTGGGTGTAGGTGTAGATCTAGGTGTGAACGTGAGTATTGTATTTTTTTCATTTCGCACTCACACCCACCCACACCCACACCCACACCCACACCCATCCACACCCACACCCACCCTCACCCTGCAAATAGATGTTCTTTATTCACAAACATAAAACAATCAATGTAATATTGCTTGTCCTTTCTATCTTTTGTTCTTATACATGTTCTCATTTGATTTATATTGACTGAGTAAGAAGGGAGTATTGTGTTCTTTCTTTGTTCTTAATTCCATAAAGTCGACGAACTCTGTCGATTTCTTTGCCTTTTCATGTTACAATATCTTGTATTTTCGTCAATAAAAAAAACTCATTTTCTGATCATTTCCATTTCATTTATTTAACTGTTTTGTTATTAAAGAAATTAATCTTGTAATGAGTAATGCAGAATGTGAGTGACAGGTGCCAACAAGTATTTTTGCGGCACAATTGAAGAAATTATGGTTAATATATTTTCAATGATGAATACTATTAAAATATGAATATGTGTCTTCATTAGATAAGATAACAATCATAGAGACACTTTACTTGTTAGTTATTGAAAAAAGTGGATTCTTGTATTATCAACTAGATTACATCTTAATGCAAGACTATATTTTATTCTTGTTGAACAAAAACTTTTACAAACAAAAGTAACAAGTTAGAAATTTGGTTAAGAAATTTCTGTATGGCATTGATAACAAAACTGAGAATGCTTCACGTTTATTAAATACCTTCTTCACGAGCTTGTCTAATTAGTGCTAAAGCAGTTTCAAGTTCACTCCAAGCTTCTGCTGAACCACCTTTATCCGGATGACATATCAGTGCTAGGCGACGGTACGCAGAATTAATTTCACCATTTGAACTAGATTGTGTAAGACCAAGTGTTTTGTAGGCATTTTCCAATGCAACAGTTTTCGGTAAATCAAAGAATTTACAAGTTAAACGTTCAGATATCTTACCAATCACTGCAGATCCAACTAAACCACCCACAAATCCACCTATAAAAGTTCCTACCAATGGGCAAATAGCAGTACCCACAAGAGCGCCACCATAGGTACCTAACAAAGTACCGAACAATGCTGCAGTAGCATCGGTAATTCCTTTCACACATCGTTTACCAGATACTTCACCTTTCCACCACAAATAAATATTTTTCACTGCACTGTATACCAATGTTCCTGCATCAATTACCACTTTTACGACGGTTCCAGCAACGCCCCCAAGCATTGCTATTTCCCAACGGCTAAACTTTGGGAGAGCTTTAACAAAAGCAAGAGCAACTGTCTTTCCATCCATTTCTATTCGTACAGAAAAAGAAAAACAGTTTTAAAAACTTGAACAAAACCTGAAAGAATTGTAGCCGAAGATGATTTTCTTCTGCTAAAGCCCAACTCAGAATAGTGTTCATACTAGTCTTTTCTCTATTTCTGAAACACATAGTTAACGGACGAGCTATAAAGAATGACGATTTTTTAGATTTTGAATAACTCTGTCATTTTCCATTGGATCCTAACAAATTGTTTTAAAGATGCGACACGTCAAGCTCTAGTAGAATACGTACAAACAAGTTTTTCAAAGTGTTTCAAACAGAATCATAAAGAAATGTATATATGTATATAGAGACAACTTTCTTATCCCATTATCTTTTCACAGTCAATAATGTATCTGCACTGAAATACGAACTAGTCTACATGCATTTCTCAGGAAGAACATCGGTGATATTTTTGTGTCAAATTATTTCTTAATTCGAATTTTCCAAAATTTAAATTTAATTAAATATAAATAAGAACGCATTCTTCTAATTTTATCAACATATGTAGAGCAATCACTTGTAAATCGACATTGAACATCTATGTTTTAGTTACTGAAGGGCGTTAACTTAAGAGTCAAGCTAATGCGATTCAGATCCTAAATACAAATATAAAATCGATAATTAACAAGAAAGAAGCGACTGATTCGGTCGAAATTCCATCCGCTCAAGACTCTAACACTTCTTTTACATTATGCTTCGTAGATGAGTACAATTCTGAACAGATGTACTTTAATGGTGATACCAACAAAATTGAATTTCATGTTTATGTTAGGACTGATTTATGTGTAGGGTAACTTCATTAGAACCTATTACTGGTGTTCATTTCGTGAAAAATCAAGTAAATTTTTATTTTCAAGAAAACAATAACTATGATATCAAAATATTATAATACAAAGTGAATGAGACCACTTGAGAATAGAAAAATATGGTTGATATCCTCATAACTATCAAAGCCTTATGAATAGACTATAATTTCAAAGGAAATAAATTTACTTGCTGTAGTCGTGCGAAAAATGATGTAATCACGAATAGAAGAGCAGTGTAATGGAGTAGTTGTAAGTGAACAAGTAAGGTATTTGTTGGATATTCCTTCACTTATATATATGATCATATAGTATTTTTTTTCTTTTCCTTCATATATGATCACACGGAATTTTCTCTTTTCTTTGACATATATGTTCGTATGGGATTTTTCCTTTCGTTATCTTAACCCCTTTAGCGTTAATTTGTTTTTTGTAGCTAACTAGTAAAATTTGTAAAAAATAGCTTTTTAAACTCATAGATATTAAAAGATAGTCAAAACTTTTGAAGACATATGTTTTATTGTTATGTATAGAAAAAAGAAGTAATAAGGCCAAAATTTATTCTATATGCGCAATTTTTCACATTGGAAACAATCCTTATCAATTATGTGATATAATTTTGATATCTTTTTTCTTTCCTCTTGTACGTGTTACTTATATAGAGGCATGTGGCACATACCTATTCTGTTCTTGTTTCGTACTATTTTATTCTCTCCTTTTTCATTGAAACTATTCGTTTTCATCTTATGTGTCGTAGCTAGTCAGATTCCTAATAAACTAAACTCATGTTCACCATCGACTAAAAAATTACTTATATATATGTAAATATTTGTGTGCTTCCACATATTGCGATTGACTAAAGAAGGAGTTGCAACTAACCTAAAAATGCAAGCTTAATAGAGCAGCAACACTCAATAGGTGGGGTGTGGGTGTCCCTTGTTGATCTAAAGAGAACACTCACACCCACACCCTATTCAATGGAATATTGTACTTTGTTTTGAACTGTATCACACTTTGAAAAACTTCTAACCAAGAATATAGCAAAAAAATCCCCGCTGCTAAAGGGATTAAAAATACTATAAATACTTATATAAATCAATCAAGAGATATTTATTTTTATCGTTTAAGAGTCAGATTTATTAATTTTATTGAAAATCGTTTGATGATTTTTTCTATTCACTTTTTGATTTGAATAAAATATTGCATTAATAATTAATACCCATACACCTTCAAGTCCAATAAAAAAAGCAAAAATCCATTGAAGAACTATTGTTGATGATCGATTATTTTCTGTAATTATTATATTTAAAAATGGTCCAACTATCCAAGCAATACCTAATGATATACATAATGAAAGCCATATCATTACAGAAATAATCATTCGTTTTTCATTTGTTTGTGCTGTTTTAGGACCACATATAAATTGAAATAAACGTACTGTAATTGCAATAATAATTAAAAAATTCAAACCAATAAATATAAGAAATGGAATAGAAATATATGGAAAAATAACTTTTGAATCAAACCAACATATACCATCATATTGTAGAAATAAATTTGATGATTGATTTACGATAACTATTGTTGGAATAAGAGCAATCAGAATAATCAGAATAAAACTTGTATAAATTAATTTATTTGATATCGATGTATATTGAATGAAAATAAAATGAAAAAATATTGTTATAAAATAACAAACACCAAGTAAAGTTTTACTTGCAAATGTTAATATAAGAAAAAAATACATTGTCATCGATAAATTTTCTTGAGATTTTGAACATTTATCATTCGCTTGTAATGTTCTATCCGATAATTGATAACCACGAATTAAAATAACAGTTAATAATATAAATAAAATCATTGAATTTATTAGTGAAAATATATTTACTATCGATAGAATACGAAATGATGTTACTTGACGATGTATTGAAAGAATTATTGATATACAAAAACATACTATCGAAAGGCTAGCAATGATTATTGAAGGTATATAAGCTTCATAAATAGGCCAATCTGGTATAAATATTAAAGCAAATGATGTTGTATGATTACAAATACAAGTATGTTGATTTGGTTTAACACCTTTCGAATAAGAACAACCAGTATTATTCCAATGATCTGTTTGCCAGAATTCACATGAATATCTTCCATATAAATCTTTAACATGTGTAAATGTCATAGTGATAGAATATGGAAATGGTTTAGGTAAATGTATACCAACAATAGGTGAAACAATAATTTTATGTTGATCGTTTTGTGCATAAGAAAAAAGTGATGATGGAAGATAATAAATTATATAAATATCTATTTCAGATAAATTTTCAATTGAATTTTGATGAATTGTAATACTAGTGGTTACATTTTCAATCGTTTGATTTTTTGAATAAGTAAAAGATGAATTTATTAGTTTGGTTTGAGAATAGGAATAAGTTGAGCTTTTTTTTGGTAGACTTAATATAGCAATTGAATTATTAGTGATTTCTACTGGAATCTTAATTGATTCAAGAAGATTTTCAATGATTGTAGTTATATTTTGTAAATCAGTTCGAAGCAGTGGAGTAATTAATTGAGAAATATTTAATTCATATAATTTCTTATCAAATCGATCGATACGATCAACAAATTTAACTATCATTGTTTCATTTGTTAAGTTCATTGATATTAACTTTAAAATAAAAATGAATAATTTCTTTCTACTTATATCGCTAAACATACTTCTTTATACATTATCGATGATATACTTTCCAAAGTAGAACAATTCAATGGAAAATCCTAGAAAAATAGATATCAGTTAAATTATTACTGTCCGTTTCAAAAAAAAGGCGGGTGAGTATTTTTCGAATATTTTGTGATAGGAACAAGATAGAGAGCTGCGGTTTTCGCCGTTAGAGAGAACAGATGAAGATGCATCAAAATCTATCTGGAAACATTTCTCTAACTACTTCCCAAAGACTGTTATAGGAAACTCTTAAACAAACAGTATGTCTCGCATTTTCGCGAGTGTTCTAGAATCGCCAGATCAAGAACTACAAAACTGTGTGAAGGTTTTACTCATGACTACTACTAAATCAATCTTTCACTGATGAAAAAACACTTTGGTAATTCAATTTTCGTGCAAAAAATAGAAGTTTCTGTGATGTTTTGATGAAAAATCGTATTTTTCTCGTGTGAAAAAAGGTAGTCTTTTCAGATGTGTTTTGATGCATCTTCATCTACTCTTTCTGAGGGTGAAAATCGCAGCTCTCTATCTTGTTTCTATCACAAAATATTCGAAAAATACCCACCCGCCTTTTTTTTGAAATAGACAGTAATATAATTTACATACCGTATCTAATTCCCAATCTTTAATTTGACAAAGCTTTACAGATTCACTATTGAATGAAGATTGACATTGACATTTTTTGTCGTAATCAATAACATGTTCAAATGGACAATTCCATGATGACAGATTCTTATTTGAATCAATTGATATCATATATTTTTGTAAATGATAATATTTACATGAACAATTCCAATTTAATAAATTTGGATTCATTTCATGTATTTTTTGTATTGTTTTCATTAAATATTGAGTATACATTGAATTTATCTCACCACAACGATTATACATTTCAAAAATACCATCATCGAAATCAATTTTTGTTCCCGTATTATTAAAGAATATTTTCGTAGTAATCTCGGATTGATAATTTGAAAGATCAACATTTTTTTCATTAGTAAAATGAGTAATTCGATTATTTGAATAATCGATCAAATCTTTTATTTGAATTAACCATAATTCAAATGTTGTTAAGCTATTCGACGAAACATCAAATATTTCTATATTTGATATATTATAAAACATGTTATTCGGTATAGAACTAATCTTATTTTGTGAGAGATTAATTGATTTAAGACTAATCATTTCTGAAATCCATGAAATTGGTATTTCATCAATAAAATTATTATGTAAATCAAGAGTTTGTAATTGAGATAAACAGCGAAAAAAGAAATGAAATGAAACATCATTTATATGATTATTTGATAAATCTAAATGCTTAATTTAGCAGAAAAAAAGGAAATGATAGAATTATAAATATTTATTTATTAATATTTACTTTAAGTTGTTTGAAACGACAAATATTAATCGGAATCGATGTTAATGGTCCCCGACCTCCAATTCCAACAACTTGAACTTTTTCAATAGTTTCCAAATAAGCATCATCAAGACTATAAACATCTATATCTTCCATAAGTACGCCATTAGGACAAGTAAATGTCATAGTAACACCGGATGGATTTATTATGCATTGAGCATATAATTCAACTAAATTGATCAAAAGTACATTTCGAATATTTACGACCATGAATTTTAGGTATTAACTGAGCTTATTTTCTTACAAGGAAAAATATAGGATTAATTTGATTTTTAATATGTTTGCTTTAAACAATCATTCAACTTGTCCAAAAAAATGATTTTTAAGACATTTTATATTTACCATAATTTTAGAAAACTTTGACCTTTCCGGTACTATAACCTAATCATTAAATCTTACCTGTCATAATAAATATTGTAATTATTTGGAACAGACATACTTGTTTGACGCTCATTTTTATCAAAGCAAATGATATGAATTATATTTTTTTTTCAATACTTTTATACTGATATTATGAATCATATGTTATTTGATACCATCCTTTTCGTAAATCTCTTTAAGTAAAATAAAACAACAATCTACAAGTCAATATTGTTTTTTTATACATGTCTTTTATTAAACATTCGTTTTAATTCTTCTCTAAACATACTTGACGTAGTGAGACATACAAAAAAAGGTGTTGAACAAGATAAATATTCAAGACAGTCAATAATAACTTCCGCTAATTGTAAATTCACTAATTTTGATGAGCCATATTTATGACGATCACGCATAACTTTATCATGTCTTTCAATAACTTTAAATATTTTATAAGGTGCTGTACTGAGTACAAATACAAATGATATACAACCAAGTGCAAATGTTAAATGAAGACGACGACGTTTAGCACCAGTAAATGTTAAAATACCGGTTGTAGTTCGATTTGATTCCTTATTTTGTACTGGTGTTAAACATATAAATCTTGTTATTGTACTCCAACATCGTGTTCGTATATGTAATACTTCTCTTAAAATTTTTGAATTAAAATAAACGATTAGAAAAAATGGTATACATGTTATAAAAACAACATCAATCAATGATTGTCCATAAGCCATATATAGTGTAAAATGTTTTGCTCGAATTTGAACAGAACATTTTGTTACAGTACGATTTTTACTGATCACTGAATATCCATATAATGAAGATAAAAATGATGAATTTTTTAATATAACCGAAAGAAATGCAAGTATTAATAAATAATATATATAATATTTTTTACGCCAATGTGAATAATATCTATGATGTACACAACATATAAAACGATCAGTTGTTAAACCTAATTGTATATATGCTGACATATCCAAAAATGAATAACGTATAAATTTATATAAACGACATGCTATCGGTGTTGAATAAATACGTATGGATGGTTTCATATAAATTCTTAATAGAACATCAATTATAAATAAATATAATAAAATTGAATCATTTATACATAATAAACGTAAAAATATTGATGATGTACGTGTTAAACGTTTTTGAAATTTTGGTCGACAAAAAACAAGAAAACAAAGTATATTACCAATTGTTGCTAATGGTAAAATAATTAATGGAAATATACTATTCGTTAAATGAATAATATGTTCTATACGTTTGTCTGCTAATGAAAGATTCATTCTTATGTATGAGCTAGTTATTGGAATGATGCCATTACCATAAATGAGAGCAAATATTTGATTGTGCTTATATACTGAACTTGTTTTTTTTCCACTACATTCATTTCCTTGATTTCTCCATTAATAAATATATAGAGAGAGAAAGTAATAATACACTGTAGGGGGACACATTGCAATTAACAAAAACATTTCCGAATGAGATAAATATTCTTGTTAGTTTTACGCACATACATCTAGTAGAAATGTTCATTCACATATATGTGTTTTTTTATTGTAGACATATTGTATGTTTACTTGTTTTTCTTCTTCTTTTTTTATGACAACTACGATAATATTTGATCGATAAGAAGAAAAAAAATGAATAGATGATGGAGGAGCAAGTAAATCAGGTCAATATTGATCGATAAAAATGAACGTACTAATGTATTACTATACATTAATTGTATCGAAGTGATGAAGACAAAAGACAATTTTACTTTTTTAATTCATCTGTTTTGTTCGTTCAACAAGATCGATGATGTATCAAAAGATAAAAGGGAGGAGATATTCTATTTTCTCAATGTCATAGATATATCGATAATATAAGTTTACGCTAGACTGCAACAAACAAGATGAACACTATCATCGTTTTATTTATGACATGTATTTATACTAATAATCAATAAATCGATGAGCACATATTCAGACAAGGTTAGTTCAAATATAAAGTCATAAAAAGATACTATTATGATTTTATTTCATAACAATTAATACTAATAATACAAACATATAGTTTCAATGTCAATGATTACATTATCAATCGTTTTGTATTACTCGTATAATGATAATAGGTCGTCTCATATGATACAAATAAGACAGGAAAAGAAAAGATACTATCAGAAACATTTGAATACACACTTGTTTTCAACCTTGATAACAATCGATTTTTTTTCTCTTCTCTTACTGTTTGTTGTTCATATGAAATATCATTTTAATATATTATTTATACACATATATCTATATAACCTTCATAATGTCTTTTTTCTTCTTTGTCAGAATAGATAACTATAAATAAAATTTTTCTTTTATCATCAATATACATCAATAAATTGTACTGCATAATCGTTACGATCAACTATATATATAGATAGACACATATACATAATTATGTCGAAAAAATACGCTTCGTGGGCGATAAATCAACCTTCATCAGCATTCATTACAGATTTTACAATGATGAAGTCACAAAAAATGAAAGAAGAACAGCACGATCATGGTAAGTTTTTGATTTAATTTAAACGTTCTTTAATTTCTATATGATTTCTTTAGTTAATAATTATCGTACTATTGAACCTAGTCCACATATGTATTTAAACGTTGATGAACGATCACGACCATCGGTAAGTGAATAATCATTGATTCAGTGTCATATGTATATGCTTTTGCTCTAACACATTTAATGCTTTTATATGAACAGACAAGATTTAACACTCCGTCTGTTGAACCAGCTATGATTTCATATCAAAGTGCATCATATTTTTCTGTAAGCTTTATCGTTACATTGAGAGAGAAAAAAAACAATTTCTTAATCATATCTTGCTTTAGGCACCTACCGAAAGTCCACCTCCATTAATAGAAGAACAAAATAAATTATGGCCTATTGAAAAATTATCTAAAGATTCATCGACAACTGAAATTGTAACATCAGCACAAAAACGAAATCATAAACATAAACATCATCGTCATCATCATCACCATCATAATACTACTACTACTAGTGGAAAACGTCATTGTTATCACCATCATCATCATCAGAATCGTCACCGTCGAGTTAAAAGTATAGGACAACAAGCAAGCGATCAATCTTCATCTAAAATTATAATTGCAAATTCAAAAAAGATCGATCAAAAACAACAACCAATTATCGTTTATCGTGAAATATCAAATGATAAAGATTTTATATACGATACAAATCCTTTAGCTAAAGTTTCATATGAAACTGATAATAAAGCAGCATCAATTAATGAACAACAATCGCCTTTAGTTGTTTATGGTGATAATAATATGCAACATTCGTTAGTAAATGATCAGATGTCTCAACCAGTTTTTGTTAGTTCAGATCAGAAAAAAGTAAGTTAATAAAAAAAACAAAAATTTCTTGTTAAGCATAATATTCATATCTGAATATCGACCTCTTTTAATCAATTTATTACTTATCCGATAGAAAACAAGTAAAGGAAATATTCCTCTACAATCTGTTGAGAATAAAATAGTATCTCAACGAGCAGCATCTACAGATGAAACTCAAGTTAGTAATTATCCTCCAGTGATGTATACTCAATCAACTCCATCAATTACTAGTCCTTGTGGTGTTCAACAAGTGGAACGAATATATTATGAGGATAGTTGTTGTGGTCCATCATCATCAATAAGCAATTGTGCATCAAATTCTTGTGTATGAAAATAAGAACAGCTATATTAAAGATTTAACCATTTTCTACTTATGCTTACTTAAATATTTTTTAAATTTATTCATAATTTTCATAGTCTTTTTTTATGTTTATTTAGATACTTCAACAATCAAATTCATGTGGTTGTATGTCTCAACAACCACAACAACAAATACTCTTATGTACTGAAACAAATTCACCAGAAGAATATATCTATACAACATGCAATAACAATTATATTCAAGATTCATGTTCACAACAACAACAACAACAATATATATGTGTAGATAGTACACCATCAACAATTATCAATCAAATGCCTGCTTTTAGTCCTGTAACAACCAATGCATGTAGATCGCCTCAAACTTATATATGTGTACCACAAACATCATGTCAACAGTCACCTAATATTATTATTCAACCACAACCTCAAATTCAATCCCAACCATTACAAATTATTCAAAGTCCACAAACATCACCACCAGGACAATATCTTCGAATAACTTCCGCTACTCCACAAATTATTGAAACTATTCAATCACCAGGTTTTCAAACTGCTCAACCACAAATTATACAAGGTATGCAACCTCAGATTATGCAGGGTATTCAACCACAGATCATACAAGGTATGCAATCACAAATTATACAGGGCATTCAACCACAGATCATACAAGGTATTCAACCCCAAATTGTACAAAGTATTCAAGGTATGACTTTATTTTATATAAATTCATTCAAATAAAAACTAAACATTTTCAGCTGCACCACAAGCTCTTTCAGGTAAAAACTAATCAAAATTTTCATTTTGGTAATGGTATTTTGCTAGAATACTAATCTTAACATTTCCATATCTTTCTAATTTGTCTCGTTATCTAATTGTGAGTAAAATTTAGAGATTTGTTTTTATAAATTTATATCTATATTCTTGTTTATATCAGTTAGTCCACAAATGCTTTATCAACGTCCATATGATCCTATTGTTTTACCAACTCAAAATCAACAATTTGCTGTTACAAATACTCCTCTTGTAGCAATGAGTCAACCATCTTATGCACCAGCACGACAAATACCAACGGGACCGCGCATGTTTCAACACGCTCTTGCTAATGTAAGATTATCTATTAAATGAATATATTTAATTAAATAAATTTATGAAATTTTAGACTGTAGCCGGTCGAACTGGTGTACCTCTTCCATTCATGCAATCACCCATGGGTGGTCAATCTCGTGGTGCACCATTAATTCCCACTGGACGGTAAATTTTTTCTTTCTAATTTAAGCTTCTATATGTATATGCTGACGCTTTTATTGCTTATTTATGCCAGAAAAAAACAAAATTTTCTTATTTTGACACATCTAGTAGTTCGTTTAAGAAGAAATTTAATATTGAGGGATCGTATTAAGAGAGTTTAATAACTGTATAACATTCGACATTAGATATCTCCTGTTTATAGCGTATTATTTAATGATGAATTACAACCATCAACATTCTCGACACTCATACCAATTCATTCAGATGACTCATTTATTCCATTTCAATCTTTAAAACCACCATCATATACGACATGTAGTGCATTTTCTCGAAAAGATACTTATCCATCAAGTATAAGAAATTTTAATCGTGTTCGACAACAGATACAACAACGTGCTCAATTCTTAGCTGATTTAGAAAAACAAATCCCTACTCGATTATCATCATCTCCTACACAACTTGCAAATACTACAGCTTTACCATCCCGTAGAATTTCACCAAATATATTACAACCAAATTCTCAATTCCTATCACACATATCACCAGCCACATCGCGATCACCTTCTATAGTTTCATCTTTTGTACCTCCAATAAATGAAATGCCAACATCAGCTAGATCTCAAGCTTTATATGCAAAAAAAAATATTACTGGTACATCTAGTAGTAATTCAAGTAGGTCATCTATTTCATCTTCATCATCCGTGCCACCTGCTCGTTCACCGTCCTTCGCTGATACGTATCATGGTCCGTTGTTGTCAGAAACTGTAACTCCCTATCAATCACTTTGACCATGAACATATCATACACGTATCGTGTCCCATTACCGCGATCTATTATACTTGAGAAGGTTGTTCTTGTCATCAAGGCTGTCTATCATAATAAATATGTTTTCTTGCTTTGGCGCTTATTAATTGCACATTTGTATATATTGCTTGTCATTTAATTGATTAACATATTTTATTTTGTAAATAATATTTTAATTAAATATATCTTTTTTCTTATTCTATTTCAGTGGACCTGTTAATCCATTCAATACAGCTGCTTGCTCAATTATGTAGAACAATCTAAAAATATATAAAACTATATGTTACAATAAAATAATATTCTTTTGTTTCAAAATATTTATTATAATTTTAGTGAATATATATATATACCTATTCTTTCATCTTTTTTTCTGATATTTATTAAAGCAGAAAATTTTCCTTGTTTTATTTATTATTATTATTATTATATAAGAATAGATTGACATTTACAAAAGTTGTATCTAATGTTCTTAGATCCAACAATAAGTTCTGAATAATTTGGTTATGAATGTTCTTGACAAAGTTCAAAGTCAAATTTTCCTAATAAAATTGACCTATTTATTTTGACTTGTAAATATTAAAATTAAATTTTCCAATTTAATCTCTCACGATTAAATTCAGTTTTTCCGAAAATTTGTTCTTGATGGAACGTTAGAATGGGAAAATGATAGATGACTCATGCTATCAAATAATTAAATCATTTTTTCCTGATTCTAATACTAGAAAATAAATATCTAAAATCTGATTTTGTATAGTATGTTTATAGGCAACTATATAAAATTGATACTGTTCTTTTTAATGCGATGCGAATAGCAGAAGCATTTATGTAGTCCTGCGCGAGTTTTCTTCCTTTTTTTTTTCTTACTTTCTCGACGTACGCATCAAAGTGGTCATTTTATGTCACAATTATCTCAGCAATAGAACATCAGAAACTACTCATTTAAACGCAAGAATAAAATATCGAGATCGAACTAATATCACATGTTTTTGACTTTCAATAGGACGTTTAGTTCGTTTACAAGAAGCGTCACAAAAACACGATTTTGACTTTTTCACAATCCGAGATAATTAAAACGAAAAGTAAAAGCAAAAGTTACGCGCCATTTTTCTTTAACAACTGTTTTACAGCTGAAAGTGCAGCTGATAGTAGATAATGAATCATCTAGATAATATTGTGAGAATCTTAAAATCGTTATTTCGAAAGCCTGCTATTCGCATCGCATTTCGTAGTCGAGTACAACTCGAATACCTTCTAGTTTCTTATCTTTTATAAGTGTATATTTAAGTATTTTATAGAAATCCAATAAGACAAAATCTAAGTAATAAACAGATGTTGCAGAAAGGTAGCTGATAGTGTATGAATATTGTGCTCAAAATAAATGCTGAATCATTATTTTTCAAAAGATTTTATTAAAAAAAAAAAGTCAGGCATGTTTTAAATTATGATTTATTATATAATAAATCATCCATGTGCTTTTACTATATGGTTTAATGTCAACTCCAGTATTTAAATTAAATAAATGTTTAGAAAAAGGATGTAATAATAAAAAAAAAGAACAGGGGACGCAGCAGAAAAAAAATAGTGAGTTATTTTATGAGGAACTTAAAAGAGAGGGAGAGAGAGACCTTTTTTTTTTGAAGAATATAAGAGTTTGCTTCCTGCAATGTTATTCTTTGACGTAGAACAGTAAAGAGAAAAATTCTCCTATATACATCTATTTATGGATATCTTTGGTTATTCTTTTAACTAAGTTTTATGTCAATAAACTTATCTTCAATATTTTTTAGTTCCGTATAATAGAAAAACGCTTTTAAATTAGAAAAAAAATTATGTTAAATATATTCGAAGCTGTCATTTAATTAATTCAGTTGGTTGGGATTAATTGACCAATCCAAATAGAAACACGATATTAACTTGATGATTCATCAAGTCTGTTTTTTATGTCATTCAGTCATCTATGTTGTTTTATTTCTTTTATTCTTTAATCTTGTCATTCTTTTTTCAACATACGTTTTTTCTTTATTCAATTTTTATCTCTCTCTCTGTTTCTTATTTAAAAGATTAACGAAATATGGCACACTTCTTTCGTGGAAGTACACCCTCAACACCATTCCAACAAGCTGTTGAGAAAGTAACAGACGGAGCTCAAGCAAATGAAGATTGGGGTACAATTATGAAAATTTGTGATCATGTTGCTATACATGAAGACAAGTATTTTGAACGTTAAATTTTTTTCTACTATAACTATTTCATTTATTTTTCTAGTGCAAAAGAAGCAGTGAAAGTTATTCGAAAACGTTTACAAACTCCTCCTGCTAATAATGATTGGCGTACAATTGGATTAACACTTACTGTATGGGAATTTTTATTTTTTGTTTTAGAATTTCTATGTTTCTCTTTTTAGTTATTAGAAGCATTGACTAAAAATTGTGGAAAAATTTTTCATACGCAAATTGCACAAAAAGATTTTTTAAAAGATTTGCGTGATATTCTTGCACCGAAAAATAATCCACCAATTGCTATACAAGAAAAAGTTCTTGGCATGATTCAAGTAAAATATTCGATATAATATGATGAATTTTTGTTTATTTAAATAATTCTTATTTAGACTTGGGCATTAGCTTTTCGTGATGATCCTGATTTAAAACAAGTTGAACAATTTTATCAGGAATGTAAACAACAATATTTACAATTTCCACCAGCTGATCCAGAGAATATTATCAAAGCAGCCGTACCAGCTACTGTAAATTGAAAAAATCTTTCTCGGAAAAAATAAATTTTTTTTTTCTTTATAATATTTAGGGAACACTTGAACGTCCTACACGAACAATTGTAAGATATGAGTTATATATTTTATTTTTTATTAGTTTTTTTTTTCGTTTTTGATAGTCTCAACCAGGACCTGGTACAAATCCTCGTCAAGTAATTAAACTAACTTTTAGAAATAATTTTTTATTTAATATTTTTAGAATCGACCTGCAAATGATGGTTCTGTACAACAAGTTGGCCAAGAAACAGCTGTTCTAAGACAAATGACACCGGAACAAATAGCAAAATTACGTAGTGAATTAGATGTTGTACAAACAAATGCACAAGTATTCGGAGAAATGCTTGTTACTTTACAACCAGGTGAAGAACATCCAGAAGATTTTCAATTCTTAATGGTAAAAAATTTATATAAAATTATCGATGTACGATAAATTTTTTAATTGCAGGAATTACATAAAACATGTAAACAAATGCAAGCACGTATATTTGATTTACTTTCACAAATATCGATTGATGATATAACTGGTAAATAATATGAAAATAATCATACAATTACCTTTTTGTTCTCTATTCATAGTTGATCTTTTACGATATAATGATGAATTTAATAATTCATTTAAGAATTTTGAAAGTTATATGCAAGAACGTGAAAGACGTGTTGGCTCATCTCATATTCCAATACCAAATCAAACAGCATTAGCACCTAAAACTTCATTTTCAACTTCTCAATCACCAACAAAAAAAGTATACCTCTTTTCTTTCTTTTTTCTATTGTTTAATATGAAATTTTTCAGCCAATGCCTTCGCCTAGTAATCAAAATAATGAACCTGCCTTGATCAAATTTGATGAAGAGCCAACAGGATTATCAGCTGGTTTACAAAATCTACGTTCGTATTGATTAATTCTTTTAACTAAAAATAAAATTATTTCGTACATTTCAGGTGTTAATCCAACATCTCCTGATTCAACAACAAAGAATACTCAACAACAATCAACGTAAGTTATTTAAATCATATTTCATACATCATTATCTCAATGTTTTGTTTTCGAAGAAGACATATGGATATTGATTCGTAAGATTTTTATCTGTTGTTAATTTATGTTTTTTCTTCCGTATTCTCTCAATCCAATGATTCTCACTCCTTTTCACATACACGTTTCATTTCCTTCTTTTTCGTATTATATTTACTCAAGATTTTATTTTAGTGCTACAGTAATAACTCGATCTGCTACAAATACTCAAGTAAAACAATCAATTTTTTATAAAATAAATATTTCATCCTTATTTGTTTTTTTCAGGAACTTGAACGCGATGCTAAAGAAGTTGAACAATGGTTAAATCTTAATGATGATAAAAATTCGAATCAACAAGGTGGTGGTACAACCAATGCATTCGATGATTTCATAGAAAAACGTGCATCACTTATTCCTGATGATTCAGTATCAGAACAACAAATACATTTAAATTTACAACCAGTATCAAATAAAATTGAACCAAATAATTCAAATGCTTAAATTAAAAATATAGACAAGACAAAAAAAAACAAACTAAATAAGCATCGTCTCTCTTGCTATTTATCTCACATTCAAACCAGAATGTTTTTGTTCTATTGTGTATATTGTCGTGATACAACAAATAAATAAGCTAGCTATTTAAAAAAAAAGAGTTTTTAACTTGTATATCGTATTTAATATTCTTTTTTTTCTTCTCAAAAAAAAATATTACAGCATGCCTTTTGTAACAGTGTATTATTTTATCTCGCCATTTTCTTTTTTCTTCACTTAACATTACAATAAACATTCGCACACACATACACATATATATATATACACCTTTTTTCTATCCTATTCTTTTCGTGCACCGTAGGTTAACATAGATAAAACAAGTAAGTAATTTATCTGTTGTTTGAGTTGAAGAGCAAAAGTATGGTGAAATTTAATTAGAGATATTTTTGTTTTATAGAATGCCAGTTAAAATTTATCATGATGATGATGCTGATGTGGATATAGTACGTAGTAAAACTGTTGCATTCATTGGATATGGAAATCAAGGACGAGCACAAGCATTAAATTTACGTGATAGTGAAGTAAATAATATTATCATTGGTAATATCGATGATGATTATGCTAAACAAGCTCAAGAAGATGGTTTTACTCCTGTAAGCATTGAAGAAGCAGTTCGTCAAGGTGATATTCTTATGTTACTCATTCCTGATGAAGATCAACAAACAGTTTGGAATGAAAAAATTCGTAATAATATTAAACCGAATACAACATTAGTTGTTGCAAGTGGTTATAATGTTGCATTTAATTTACTTGATTTACCAGATGATATGGATGTTGTTATGGTAGCACCACGAATGATTGGTGCTGGTGTACGTGATCGTTACGTTCAAAATATACCATATCCATGTTTTGTATCTGTTGAAAAAGATGTTAGTGGTACAGCGTTAGCGACATGTCTTTCAATTGCTTGTGCTATTGGAGCTACACGTGGTAATGGTGCTGTAAGTTCATCATGTCGTGAAGAAGCTGGTATTGATTTATTTGCTGAACAAGCTCTTTGGCCAGAAATCATGGCAATATTTCGTGAAGGTTATAATGTTTTACATGAAGCTGGATTTTCTGATGAAGCTATTTTATTTGATATGTATTTAAGTAAAGAACCAGCTGAAATATTTGAACGTGCTGCTGATGAAGGTTTTGTTAAACAATTAAAATATCATTCTCGAACAAGTCAATATGGTCAATTATCGACAATGAATCGTCATGATGGAAAAGATATTCGTGAAAAATTTCGGCGTGTTTTAAATGATAATATTTTATCGGGAAATTTTGCTAAAAAATGGTCAAATACAAAATGGGCTGCTGAAGAATTAACAAAAGAATGGAAAGAAGTTGAGAATGCACCGATTGTTCAAGCTGATCAACGTGTACGTGAAGTTCTTAAACCAGATCGAAAAAAATAAACTTTTTTTTAGTTTATTTATCATTCCACTTTGATTTTCAATTAGAATCGATAGAATAAAATAGTATATAGTATCAAATAAATTCATTTATATATATATTCTAGATAAATAATAGAGAGAAATTCATGTCGAAAATTAATATCATACGAATTATTCTTGGTATAGGATTAATTAGTTTTCTTCTCATTGTTTTTCTTTTATTTGGGTACGTTTATATATTGAAAATATTATATAAATATCATTTAATAATATATATAGAAAAATCCATGTTGTCATCTTCGCTCTTCTTATTTTATTCAGTTATAAATTAACTGATTATTATATGTATGTATAAGTTGTTTGAATATGAAATAGATTTGTTTAATTTTTCCTTATCATAGAATGACAATAAATAATCCGAAAAAATCTTTAACATGTTGGCCAAATTTAATTCTTCTTCTTGATACAACTAAGGTAGAGATATCATTAAATAAACTTATCCAAACGATTTTTATTTTTACAGGATTTAAAAGAAGAAAATCATCGAAAACAAAGGTAAAGTATATATACATATATTAGAAATTTATTTATTTATTTTTTGATCTATAGTGCAAATTGTAATTATATTCAAAAGAATCCATGGGTGCATTTAATGATGTCGAAACGATTGGATGCTGCTATTGATGAAGTATATTATTTTAATTCTATAACACTTAAAATATTATTTTTTTTCGCTAGTTTTGTTGTTTATGTCTTCGTGATTATATTTATCCATGGTTATCGTAAGTTTTCATTATTTCAATACTAAATTTGAATAAACTATTTTTTGTTTTGTTAGAACAATTACTCATGATGATAGTTTTGTTTATGAAGTCAAATATCTCTTTCGATATCTTTTAGCATCAATTATTCGTCATTTACATAAAGTAAGATTAACAAAGAATGAATATTCTCTTTCTGGTAGAGAAGAGTCTAGTAAGGATAAATTGTCTGCTTGCTTGTGTATCCACAGGGTCAAAAAAACATCGAAGACTAATTATCTGGAAAAGACATTTCTTGAGGTATTTCGCTGCGGAGAGTTCGAATCTGAGGTCCGTTGAACGGCCATAATGAGGGGGGGGGTGAAGAGGGTACAAAGGTAAAAAAGACATCGAAAACCGATTTTTTACGGTTTTCAATTGTTTTTCTAGTAAATGTGAAGAGGAAGCATTTCTACGAGAAAGAGCTGAGCGAGTCCCCGGACGAGCGTTATTTATTTTATAATATTTTTGATTAGGTTGATATCAATGCTTTTATTACCGAACGTTTTCTTCCATTAATATTGCAAACATATGATCGTTATATTCATACAAAGGAAAAAATATCTGTAAATAATTCCATAGATTTTCTACGAACAATGTATAAAGATGATCTTCATATAGCAATGTATAATCGCGAAGAAGAATTAAAATATCTTAAAAAACTTGTATCTAATGTAATGCCAATAATAACACCAGAATTTATATCGAAATGTCCAGGAACACATCATCTTCTATGTGAAATATTTGTTTCTCAAATATTACTTGATTCAATCGATGCACTATGTCAACCAAATATAATGAATCGTCTATTTCATCTTTATTTTACAACTGCTATTGAACGTCGTCAATTAAATAATATAACAGATTCAGATGAACAATCGAAATCTTATGTAGAAATTCTATCACATTTTTGTGCAATGAATGGAATATTACATAAAAAACAATTAACTTTAGAATTAACTGATGTTATGTATGAAAAAGAATTAACGAATCAATTGAGTCGTGTACTTGATCATCATGGTTCACTGGGTTTATTAAGTATTTATATAACATTATCAGATCTTTTAAATGATATTCCATTAGCATCAGATATATTAGTTAGAAAAAAACTTTATCAACGTTTAAAACATATTGATGAACGTTATTTAAATCCAATACATTCAAATACATATGTTATCATTAGTAATTTCTATGATAAAGAAGATACATTAATTGATGATGTAAAGAATTTAATTAATTATGATTTAGCAGAAAGTATTAATGATGATATAAATAAGAAAACTTTTAACGTTCAACAAGCATTTACATTATTATCAAGATTTCATTGTAAAGTTTATGAATTAATTGAAGAAAAATATCAACGAGAATTTTTAGCAAGTGATGAACATTTTCTGTATATATGTGGTCCAAGAATGGATTCACGTGATTATCGATCTATGGACAAAAAGTATGTAATACAAAAAAAAGGAAAATAGTTGACATCAATATATTGAGAATGACTTATATTTGTTCTCTTAATTCTCGTTCTCGTAGAGAAGAGTCCAGTAAACATAAATTGTTTGCTTGCTTGCTTGTGTGTCCGCAGGGTCAAAAAAACATCAAAGACCAATTTTCCGGAAAAGACATTTCTTGAGGTATTTCGATGCGGGGACTTCGAATCTGAGGTCTATTGAGTGATCATAACGAAGGGGAGCAAAGGTCAAAAAAACATCGAAAACCAGGTTTTAATTGTTTTTCCAGAAAAAGTGAAGAAGATGCGTTTCTATCGGACGAGCGTTACTTGTCTGTTTAATATATTTACATTTCTATATAGAAATGCAATTGAAAATGCAAATAAACGTAATATATCAAAACATTATACAACAACTTCATATCAAGGTAAATATAAAGTATTTAATTTAGATTGATTTTTACATAGAATTCAACCTTTTCAGTATATCTTCATAAATGTCAAAGGTAAAAACTACTAACATAGAACTGATATAAATAATAAAAAGATATATCTGATGAAAATCAATCCTATAGTATGTTGAAAATAGCGTGGCATAATACGCCTTATTAATACTATAGTTATTTCCCTTGTAATTATATTTCAATAAACGATTTTTGTTTTAGAAATGGAAGAAAAAGATGATTCACATTTAAAATATCCAGAAGATTCAGCAAGTATTTGCAGTACTAGTGTATGTTCATTTTATTATTTACTTCAAATACTATTTGAATTAGTATTTTAGTCATTAGATGAAAGAGATCTAAGTACATGGCGCGTTCATATTGATCATGCTGAAGAATTACGTGAAAATATACACTCAAATTTAAAATATTGCGTATTAATTCTTGAAGTTCAACGATGTGAATTAAATAATGGTGAGAAATTATTTTTAATTTAAATAAAAGAAATTATTTTTTTATTTTAGATAATCCATTGATTAATAATGAAGAAAAACCTCATTGGATAGTCGCAAGGTATAGAATAATAATAATAGAAAAAAAACAATCGAAATACATCTATTATATTATTAATTTAGACGTTATCAAGATTTTTATTTATTAGAACAAAAATTAACTGAATTTCATGGAATTTTTTATGATGCTCGTTTACCAGCAAGACGATCGGCAACAACAGCAAGAAGTCTCGACTTTCTTGAATCAATTAAAGCTGATTTTGAACATTTTTTACAAGTAAAATGTGTTTTTTTGAATTTTATTATATATGAATTTATTTGTTTTTCTAGCATTTATTATCTAAACCAACATTACGAAATAGTGAATTATTATATAATTTTCTTACACAACCAGATGATTTTGCTTTACCTACTGGAGAAATTATTTTAACTAAAGTATTTAAAGTTGTACCACGTCGATTACGTTTTGAAGTAAAATATATTAATGAAATTCTTATATAAAAAACAAAAAATTAATTTTGTAGAAAGGACAATCTCTCGAACCATTCCTTCTATCATTATTAAATTATATTGAACCAGCAAAAGCAAAAGCAACTCAACCAAGTCCAATATTTAATGATATAATTAAAGAAAAGGTATTTATTTAATTAATACAGTCGAGTGTATTGATACTTTTTTATTTTTCAGCTTGAAAATTCTATTTATGGTAATAATGCAGATATTACTGACTCTTTTTTTGAACCAATGACAGAAGAAAGTGTAAATTCTCAGTATGAAGAATATGATAGTACTTATGATCATTTGATTTTTATTGGTATATAAATTTCTTTAGTAATTTCTATAATACTATTTTATTATAATTTCTAGTAAAAAAAGTGTTTTCTGCATCAACATTCTTAATTCATCTATTGAATTTATTACGTGTACCATTGAAGAATACAGTTGATACATTTTTTTCATATTTTATTGAAAATCGAATAGATGAAATATTAAGTAATGAAGAGAATATTATTGCTGTTATTCATGCTCTACAAGGTATTGATTTTTAATTGAATACAAAAAAGATTTTTTATAAGAATTATTTTAGATACAATATTTGCTGATGATGCAAAAGACAAAGGGTAAAATAGATTTATTTTGCAATAATATTGTTATTTTTATGAATATTTAGACCGAGTGATATGGTGAATTTCGAAGATGTAATTGGAACAGCAGAAGAGTTTGTACCAGGTATGATCAAACGTATTCTTGGCGAATCAAATGTACAGAATGGTTTACAAATTCTTTTACAACATTTTCAAGATCCATTATTGAACAAACAAGTAAATTCGTTGAATTTTTTAGCATATTTTATTTCTTTAATATGTCGATTAGTTATTTTATATGATTCTCGATGAAATTCTTCTACAAGTTTTTCCAGAACTACAAGTTCATAGTGATATTTCAAGGCACAATACAATGACAAAAATATAGAATGAGTTATTTTTACACTCTTCGCTTTATTTTTTTCAATTTTCGTGATATATATTAACCGGTTTATTTTATTTTTCTCTATTGTATATATATATAATTATTTTATTAATCTCATTATTGTTTGTCGTTGTTTTGTTTATTCTGTTGTATAGAATATTTCCAAAAAGAAACAAATTTAAATTATCTTTATAGATAAGTGTTCTATTCAATCGAATGATACACTTATTATTTGTGACAAGTATTGTAGTATTCTATTTTGGTTGACTTATATGAATGTACGTGCAGCAATATGATCAAAATTTTGGATATTGTTCGATTTGGTTGTTATTCAGAGGATAGATCAATTCAAAACAAATTGTGAAGCACGAGGATGTTGTTGGTGATTACTTATTTAACAAACAAATGCTACTCTAGAATATCGAAATGATTTTCGAGATGTAAATATTCCATTTTATTATTATCTTAAAGATTTTGGTCAACGAATTCGTATTTATGAATCACAAGCAACCTATATGACACGTGCTATTCTTAATCTAGAAGTTTATCTTATCTATGATTCAATTTATAGACGATACGACATCGCACTTCAAGTATCTATAGTAGAAAAAAGAGCTACTGATACTGATTATGAGATAGAATTTGGTGAAAAATCATTTTCAATACTTGTCACACGACATTCAACAGGTGTAATATTGTAAGTCTGAATAAAACTAATATTGATGAAAGATTTTGATATAGAAGTTAGATAATGTAATGACTTAAGAATGATGGTATCTGCATAAATTTATTTTTTAATACTTTATTTCAACTATATCACATAAACTCTCAGTTTCGGTCTGTTAAAAAAAGTTCTACTAAATACTGCATTGTTATGAATTGCACAATTTTTGATAAAAAAAAAGCAAAAATCTGTTTATAAGAATGAACAAAAAAAATTGATTGATTGAATATATCATAATAAATATAAACTTCTTTAAATCATTTATCTTTAATGATACACAGTGAATAGTAATTTTCCTTTTTGTTTCATGTAGATTTGATTTCAGTGTATCACCACTTATATTTATCGATCAATTTAACAAACTTTCTACACTACTATCGAGTCCATTGCGGTACGGACTCCGAAAACATAGACAATGCCTACTGATAAACAGAACAAATGAATAGAAAAGATTAATATCTTGAACACGTGATATAAGTTCAACATCAAATATAAATCTTTATGGTTAAAAACGGTATTGGGATGTTATTGGACTAAGAACAACATAATAATTATGTATATAGTTGAGAATGTATTCTCTTAGAAACCAACAATGCCACCATTCTAGTCACTTGGATATAATATATTTGAGAATTTGTGGACAACCATCAGTATGATTATTTTATAATAGAAAATGTATGATATAAAGTTTCTATCGGGTGTATGATTAGCATCATTAAGACAATTTGTTGATACACATAGACCAATACAAACACTGGATGCAGTAATACATTGTCATCACTAGTTGTTCAATCTTAATATGGTACTACTAGTGAAGATTTATCTTAGGATGATGGTACTTCAATTAGTATGTTCTCTCTATACAATATCTTTGATGATATATATATTTAAATATGCTAGCTGACATTAGTCATACAATAGAATGAATAGCAACGCAGTAATGATCTTCTTTATTACACGAATAAATTTAGAATTGTGTTTTATTCATATTTCTCAATGACATAAAAATATTGATTTAATGACTTTTATCTATTTTTAGATAATCATTTGAATATTCTGTAAACTGATGTGATTATATTGACTCATTTTGGATATAATATCTTATATATGCCATATTTATTATAAAAATTTGATAAGTATTTCGTACAATTGCGACATTGAGATCAATGAGATTTTTAAAAGACACAGTAAAGCTCTGATTAAAAACAAATAATATTTTCATTGTAGATAAGTTTTATATACAGAGGGATGATATATTCATCATTAGTGATAAAATTTACAATTCTATATATTATATCCTATTCATATGCACAACAATGTGAGCAAACTTCCAATGCAGCTCGTTTTAATTGTCATCCAGAGAATAATCCCACAGAAGCAACATGTGAAACAAGAAAATGTTGTTGGCGACCACCAATCCCACAAACTAATGCAACTGTTCCATATTGTTACTTTCCAACAGATTTTCCAACTTATGAAATAATATCAAATGAAACAACTGATTTTGGTCAACGAATTCGTATACAAAAATTACAAACAACTTATATGCCACATGATATTCTTAATCTAACAGTTGATCTTATCTATGAAACACAAGAAAGATTTCGTATTCGAATCTACGATACAATTTATAGACGATATGAGGTGCCATTACAAGTACCTGTAGTGGAGAAAAGAGCTACTGATACTGATTATGAAATAACATTTAGTGTAAAACCATTTGCAATACTTGTCACACGGAAATCAACAGGTGTAATATTGTAAGTTTGAAATTGCATCATCAGTCTTATAACTTTTATATCTCACAATATTTATATAATTGATAATCCTTTGTTTTAATTAGATTTGATTCAAGTATAGCTCCACTTATTTTTGCTGATCAATATATGAAACTTTCTACAAGACTGTCAAGTCCATTGGTGTACGGTCTTGGTGAACATCGACAGCCATTATTAATCAATGTATCGGCTGAATGGAAACGATTGACATTCTATAGTCGTGATTTTCCACCAGTGGAAAACATTAATCTCTATGGTTCGTATTCCTTTTGTCAGAAATGATAAATTTAAATGAAATTTATTATATGTTTGTATAGGGGTTCATCCATTTCATATTAATCTTGAACGTACACCAGACAATCAAACTCATGTTCATGGACAATTTTTCCTCAATTCAAATGCAATGGATATTGATCTTCAACCTTTACCTGCTATAACTTACACAACGATTGGTGGTATCATTGATTTATATATTTTTACAGGACCAACTGTTGAGAATGTCATTGAACAATATTGGGATGTCATTGGAGTAAGAATAACATAATAGTTATGTATATAGTTGAGAATGTATTATCTTAGAAACCGACAATGCCACCATTTTGGTCACTTGGATTTCATCTTTCTCGTTTTGGATATAGTACATTTGAGAATTTGTGGGAAACTATCAAAGTAAAATATGATAAAGAATAAAAAGAAAAAAGTATTTTGTATGATTATTTTAAAATAGAGAATGCATGATGCTGAGTTTCCATATGATGTTCAATGGACAGATATCGATGTCATGTCATCTTCTCTTGATTTTACCTATGATCGAGAAAGATTTCAGGGTCTTCCTGGACTTGTTCGTGGATTACAATCTGAAGGCAAACATTATGTAAATAGACTTGATCCAAGTATTAGCTCAACACAGCCATCTGGTTCCTATCCACCCTATGATGATGGAATAAATCGTGAAATTTTTGTTACAAAATATAATTCAACGGATCCACTAGTTGGAGAAGTAAATTTATTATTTTATTGTTAATAATGATATAAATTCGGTTTAATTTGAAAAGGGTTGGGCTGGTAGAACGGTGTTTGCTGATTTTACACATCCTAATGCAGTTGAATGGTGGACAAGGATGGCTACAGCATTTCATGAAAGCATTCCATTTGATGGACTATGGATCGTATGGATGTTTGTTACTAATTATCTCTGATTGTTTTTTATTACATTTACTGTGCAGGATATGAATGAACCATCAAATTTTGTCGATGGATCACATGATGGATGTACAACAAATGCTCTAGATAATCCACCCTATGTTCCTCGTATGAAATTTTTCTACAAGAGTTTTTTATGAGAATGTGAAATTTATATATATATAGATGTACTTGGTAACAATCTTAGTTCAAAATCATTATGCCCATCTTCCCAACATTATCTATCGTTTCATTATAACTTACATAGTATGTTCGGTTATTTCGAATCACAAGTTACAAATACGTAAGTATATTCTTCGATTTAAATATATATGTATATCGATATATATATTGAATAGAGCATTGAAAACTATTCGTAAAAAACGACCATTTGTTTTATCTCGTTCAACATTTGCTGGTTCAGGACAATTCGCTGCACATTGGACTGGTGATAATCGAGCAAGCTTTCAAGATATGTACTATTCTATACCAGGTTTGTATTATTTAAAACAAAGCAAAATTTCATTCTATAGAATTGCAAAAATCTTATTTTAACTTTAGCAATTCTTAGTTTCAATATGTTTGGTATAACACATGTGGGTGCTGATATTTGCGGATTTGGATTAGATACAACTGAAGAATTATGTACAAGATGGATGCAATTAGGTGCCTTTTATCCATTTATGAGAAATCATAATGATCTTGGACAGAAAGTAAACTTCCTCGAACATATAAAATAGTTTATTTTCATCTTTGTCATATAAAAAACCAATTAGGATCAAGATCCTGCATCATTTTCATGGGAAGCTCAACAAATAATGAAACAAGCATTATTAATGAGATATTCATTTATACCATTTTGGTATACATTACACTACGAAGCATCAATGAACTCTAAAACTATTATACAACCACTTTTTTTCGAGTATAATATTTTCTAATATTTATATATATATATATACGAGGAAAAATGATTTGTCAATTTAGATATTTAAATGATAAAAATACTTACAATATTGATCAACAATTTTTAATTGGTCGTGCTCTTCTTATTTCTCCGAATTTAGTTTCAGTAAGTAATTATATTTAGAAAACAACGAAATATCTAAAGAAAATAATTTCATAATTGTCTAGCAAACAAATACTGTTGATGTTTATATACCACAAGATGTTTGGTATGAGTTTTCATCAGGTGTAGAAATAGAAACTGTTGGACAATTCATTACATTAAATGCACCAATATCAAAAATTAATGTTCATGTTCGTGGTGGTTTTATTATTCCAATGCAAACACCAGGTGCTAATTTAATTCTTGGACGTGGTAATCCATTTTCGTTACTTGTTGCACCATCTCAATTTGGTAATGCAAGTGGAAATTTATTTTGGGATGATGGTGATTCAATTGGTAGATTTTATTTTTCTTCTTTTCTTTTTAACTATTTTCATTATTTAGATTCAATTGGAACAAATACATACAATTATTTTGAATTTACTTTAACGACTTCGGTAAGTAGACAACTCATTGTAATCAATAGCTATATGATTGGTAAATTATAGAATACGTTGACAATTGACCCTCTTAGTACAAATTATAAAGATTCTCCGATGCGTTTGGATCTTATAAAAGTTCTAGGAGTAAGCAAACCTGTAACTCAGGTGACAGTCAATGGAAAAGTGTATCCAAATTATACTTACAGTGTTTTTGATCAAGTAAATAATTAACTTAATACAATTAGTCATCTATTAAGTATCAAATTTTCTTTTTATTATTTAAATAGATTTTAATTATTCATGGTCTTGATATGAATATATTAGTTGAGTCTAGTCAAATTATTACATGGACAACTTCGACTTAATCATAACAATAGAGATAAATAAGTAATTAGTTCATTCCAATATATTTGTTATAAATGTGCTTTTATCTTTGTCTATCAAACTATAATTGATTGATTTTATTTTTATGTTTTAATGAAATTGTTAAGTCTTTTTTTACATAAGTAATTTCGAATGAATATAATGATAGAAATAATGAATATTTGTTTTAATTAATTTGATAATAACGAAATCTTTTTATATAAAGTTTATTGTAGATAAATTTAGTAATTAATTGGATGACAAACTTAATCTTACTGATAAATTTTATAGTGCTATGTTTTGTTTGGTGTATATTTGCTCAACAATGCGAAATAAGTCCACATGTACAACGATTTGATTGTTATCCAGAAAAAGAGTCATCGAAAGAAAAATGTCTAGAACGAAATTGTTGTTGGAGATTACCAATTGAACAAACAAATTATACAGATAAACGGTTAACTGGAATACCTTTTTGTTATTATCCAACCGATTTTCCCACTTATGAGATAATATCAAATGAAACAACAGATTTTGGTCAACGAATTCGTATACAAAAATCACAAACAACTTATATGCCACATGATATTCTTAATTTAACAGTTGATCTTATCTATGAAACACAAGAAAGATTTCGTATTCGCATCTATGATTCAGTTAATAAACGATATGAAGTTCCACTTCAAGTACCTGTAGTGGAGAAAAGAGCTAATAAGACTGATTACGAGATAAGATTTGGTAAAAAACCATTTGCAATACTTGTCACTCGAAAATCAACAGGTGTAACATTGTAAGTCTAGATAAAGATTATTATTAACAAAGAGATAATGTCATGAATTCAATAATACTTCTAAAATTATTTCTTTGTTAGTTTTTTTTAAGTAAAATGTGATTGTGTTTGTTTATTTGCTCAATAGATTTGATTCAAGTGTAGCTCCACTTATTTTTGCTGATCAATTCATCAAATTTTCTACACGATTATCAACTCCATTATTATATGGCCTTGGCGAACATCAGCAACCATTGTTAATCAATGTAACAAATGAATGGAAAAGATTGACATTCTATAGTCGCGATTTTCCACCAATGGAAAATATAAATCTCTATGGTTTATAATCTTTCTACTTTCAAGTGATATATAAAACATTATTTTAGGTGTTCATCCATTTCACATCAATCTTGAACTTACATCAGACAATCAAACTCATGTTCATGGACAGTTTTTCCTCAATTCAAATGCAATGGATATCGATCTTCAACCTTTACCTGCTATAACTTATACAACGATTGGTGGTATTATTGATTTATATATTTTTACAGGACCAACAGTCGAGAATGTCATCGAACAATATTGGGATGTTATTGGAGTAAGAATAACTTAATAACTATGTAAATACTTGAGATTCTATTATCTTAGAAACCGACAATGCCCCCATTTTGGTCACTTGGATTTCATCTTTGCCGTTGGGGATATAATAATATTGAAAATATGATATCGACTCTCGAAGTAATTTCTTTCTGTAAAAAGTTTATGATAAATACATTATTTTGTAGAGAATGCAAAGTGCAAATTTTCCAATCGATGTTCAATGGACAGATATTGATGCAATGTCCTCCTATCTTGACTTCACTTATGATAGTGAACATTTTCATGGACTTCCTGGATATGTTCGTGCATTACAAGCTGATGGAATACACTATGTAAATATAATTGATCCAGGTATTAGTTCAACACAATCAGCTGGTTCTTATATACCATATGATGAAGGATTGAAACGAGGTGTATTTATGACAAAATTTAACTCAACTGAACTAATTTTTGGAAAAGTATTTGACAAAATTTCTGTAATTAATATCTTTTAATTATTATTATGCTTTCGAAAGGTTTGGCCAGGTATTACAGCATTTCCTGATTTTACAAATCCTAAAACAATTGAATGGTGGACAGATATAGCTTCGGCTTTTCATGAAGTCATTCCATTCGATGGCATGTGGATTGTAAGAATGATTGTTGATAATTCTCTTTCATTATTTTACATTCTATATTTTGTCCCTAGGATATGAATGAACCATCTAGTTTCGTCGATGGCTCACAAGATGGATGTACTGATAATGCATTAGATAATCCACCATTCATTCCTCGTATGGAATTAATTTTTTTTCTAAGAAATACACAAACATATGAATATTATTATTATTCATAGATGTACATGGTGATGCGCTTAGTGCTAAAACGTTATGTCCGTCTGCTCAACAGCTCTTATCGTCCCACTATAATTTACATAGTATGTACGGTTATTTTGAAGCACAAGCAACAAATATGTAAAGATATTTTCTAATATAATTTGTTTATATAAATAATATTTGTATATTATAGAGCATTGAGAACTATTCGTAAAAAACGACCATTTGTTTTATCTCGTTCAACATTTGCTGGTTCAGGTCGCTATACTGCACATTGGACTGGTGATAACCAAGCTACATTTATTGATATGTACTTTTCAATTCCAGGTTCGTCCATGACAATATATAGTTTTTTGTTTTTAAAAAAATTGTTTTTTTGTAGCTATTCTTAATTTTAATATGTTTGGTATAACACATGTGGGTGCTGATATTTGCGGTTTTCTGCTTGATACTACCGAAGAATTATGTGTCAGATGGATGCAATTAGGTGCCTTTTATCCATTCATGAGAAATCACAATTCTCTCGGACAAAAAGTAACTATTTATATCTCATATCAAACATATTCTATTCAAAAAATATTTCGAATAATATTGATTAGGATCAAGATCCTGCATCATTTTCATGGGAAGCTCAACAAATAATGAAACAAGCATTATTGATGAGATATTCATTAATACCATTTTGGTATACATTGCATTATGAAGCATCATCGAAATCTAGAACAATTGTCCAACCACTTTTTTCTGAGTCTATATATTCAGTATTATATAGAATATTCATAAAAACTTTTTATTTATTTACTTTAGATATCTAAATGATGAAAATACTTATAATATTGATCAACAGTTTTTAATTGGTCGTGCTCTTCTTATTTCTCCAAATTTATTACCCGTAATTTTTTGATAACAAAGATATTCGAAAATTTAATTTATATTTTTCTCATTAGGAATCTAACTCTGTTCATGCATATATTCCTCAAGATGTTTGGTATGAATTTCCGTTAGGTGTTAAATTATCGAATGTCGGATTATTTACTGATTTGGATGCACCCATATCAAAAATAAATGTACATCTACGTGGTGGTTTTATTATTCCAATGCAAATACCCGGTGATAATTTAGTTCTTGGACGTGGTAATCCATTTACATTAGTTGTTGCACCATCTCAATTTGGTAATGCAAGTGGAAATTTATTTTGGGATGATGGTGATTCAATTGGTAAATTTTTTTCTTCTTCTTCTTTGTTTTCTTATAAATAATTACTAATCTTGTTTTGTAATTCAGATTCAATAGAAACACAAACATATAATTATCTGGAATTCTCATTAACTAACTCTGTAAGCAACAAAATCATTATTTTCTATGAATAACTGATCTGTAATTAATTCCTAAAAACTTCTACTAGATAATCATTAGTTATATATCGATCTAACACGATTCTCATATTGAATTTAGAAAATCTAGTTTACAGTAAATTGAATCAAAAGAATAACATGTTTTTCTAACAATATTTCTTGTTGATACATACATATTGGTTATTGAGATAGAAATAAATATAAAAAACATTATTAATTATTCATTATACATATAGAATTTCAAATTTTTAGAATAAATTAACAATTAATATACTTGTTTCAAATTACAAAGAGTCTGCAATGCGTTTAGATCTTATTAAAATACTTGGAGTAAATACTTCTGTTAACAATGTAATTATTAATGGAAAATCTTATTCGAATTATCTTTATAATATTCCTGATCAGGTAAAAATGAAATTTGTTCTTTTGACCTATATGAAAAATTTTCTTTTTTTTTCTATTAAAATAGATTTTACTTATCTATGGTCTTGATTTGGATATGTTATCTCAATCAAGTCAAACTATTCAATGGACAACTTCGAATAAATAGTTGTATTAACCAAAAAAAAAAAGACACGAAATTTTCTTTTTTTTCTTTTCTCGTCTCAATATCTTTCAAAACATGATTTCTCTTTCTTTTTCTTTTGTACAAGACATTCAAGCATATTATGATCGGACTATTAAAATTTAAAAGATACTCATCACCAAAAACAAAACACACTCATCAATACAATAAAAAATAGAAAAAAATGAAAAAAATCCAATACGTTCGTTGTTGTTGTTGTTTATAATTCATAGCTGAATTACATCGATCCGATCCACATAAACATAGAGAATCAGTTCGATGTTTTTTATGCTTATAACATGTTTCAGCTTTTTTTATATGATAATGAAATATTTTATGACAATCACGTCTTACATAACGTAATGCACTTGATTTATTATCTCCTGTTATACTATCATTTTCACGTGTCCACATTTTTAAACAATAATCATCGCATAAACGCGTAGGAATTTGTACTTGTGAAAAATTTCTTGAATCTTCACATTCTTGAATTTCTCGTGAATCACATATAAAACATTCGACTTGTTTACGACATGATGCTGAATCAGCTTGAACTAAAATTATTGAACCACGACGACGATTAGTTGAAAGAAGAAATAAAACTAAAAATTCGACGATAACTGCTATTTGCATGATAAGTTGGTATTATTTTGTTCAAACAAATCATAGTAATATGAATAATAACGGCTTGTCCATCTAAAAATCAAAAAATAAGAGTTTAAGATTAACAAGTATTAGGGAAAAGATAATAATGATGATGATCATCTATCTATCACGATGCAAAAAAAAGATGTAGTATGACAGGAAAAACAAATCATTGCTATCTTGTTTCCGGTGCCTAACGCCTAGTTGTTGTAGTACCGCCCTCCTTCTTCTTCTTCTTCTTCGTTTTTTATTTACTATGATATATAATAAACAGAGAAAAAATAATCATTCTACTTTCACCTGTCATTGAACTACAGAAAAATTATTTGTTATTAATGTCATTTATTTTATCTACTTTTTCTCATATCTATTCAGAGAATATGATATATAATAATCATAATAAACATGAAAAAAATGAGTCTAAAGGAAAAAAAATGAGACAGAAAAACTATTATTAACACTTGTATTCGTGTTCAATTGATCGTTCAACACGATTAGAATGATAGGCTACATATAGTGTAAAATTAGCGAGAAAAGAGTCATAACGAACGACGAACTCTTAATGACAACAACATCAATGTACGCATGCCTGACACGAGAAGTAATGGTAAAATATACGCGAGAAAGAAGAATCGAGTTTTCTCTACAAACGAACAGCTTTTTGGGTGACGCTATCAAATGGAAGCAAGTAAAAGACGAAGAAAAAGTAGAAGAAGAAGAAGAAAGAAAGAAAGAAGGACGAAGATGATGATGATGATGAAGAAGAAGAAGAAGAAGTAATAGAGGACACAAAACGCATCGACGTTAGTAGGATAGAGAACGGAATTCCGGGTGAGAAAAGCGAGAGATACAAATAGCGCGTCGAGCTCCAAGTTTAGGCGACAGCATTGTGACAGTAGTAGTTTGTTTGCTTTTGACTGCTTGTGCATGCACCACACATATATATCCTAGTTCTGAAGAAACAGAGAGGAAGAGAAAGAGAAGACGGGAGAGAGAGAGAGAGATAAGACGAATCCCCTCCTTATCTATGATGTTGCGCTAACAAACTATTGATATTGCTGTATTTGGATTCGTTACTCGTGCATACATATCAAATGTCATTGTATGACAAGATGCGTGCTCAAACTAAACATAGAATAAGTAATATGTAACAATTTTTCTAAGAAAACTCCCCATTGAGATACATGATGAAGTTGTGTGCATGCATGCTAAGCATCATATTTCTTTTAAACATAAAAAAAAGAGAAAATATTCTGAATATTTACAATAGTTATTATTAATTGATAGAGTACCTTTTCTTCTTTTTCGAACATAATAAAAAGTTAAGTAGTTTTTTCTTTCATAGTTTTTATTGGTTAACGATACTCGTGTATCAATACAACAAAAAATCTAGCTGTGTATTAAGATATAGATATTTAATATCTAATTACGTTAGTCATATATTAATATGTATCATAATTGTTAATTGATAAGTTTATATTATCTCTTTTTCTGTTATTAAAAGTAAATGAAACTAATTTTCATTTTTATTTGTTTATGAAGAAATAAATATAAAGAATATATATATATATTCTGTATAATGATTATCTTGTCAATGTCATAAATATCAACACTTCTTCTAATTAAATAATTTTTTTCTATGAAGAAAAAAAAACGAACAATTTTGCTCCGTTAGATAAATACATGTCGATTGTATTTAACTTCATACTGTTAAGAGGATCAGATAATAAATCCTGAGGCTATGATAGCGTGTCTATTCTAATTTCATTGAGTGCATTTGCTAATAATAAGCTTCCACAGCAAAAACAACAAGTTCTATATGACAGCTGAGAAAACATTCTGCAGCTGGATTGATAATTCATATTTCAATCATTCAATATTGTACATATCTTGTTTTATTTGACATGAATTTTTATGAAGAAAATTATCATCGAAAGTGTCAATTTGTTGTTGATGAAGTGTAAGAATTATTATCTAATTTTATCATTTGCTTCATTTACTTTCGTATATAAACCTTAGTTTATATTCATAAATCACTTGTTTATCAGATCTTCCGTTTGACATTTTATAATTCTATTCTTTCTCTTGGCTATACTATTGTTAGAAACACATAACATCATGGGTAATTTCTAATAGTATTTTTGTTTATATTGTATATTGAGAGAAAATTAATAGAGACATTTATAGTACATATTTTAAACTATACTTATATACAGGAGGGATTTTATGTAAAATAATTGTTGCAATATTGATTTAACAAAATATATTACTATAGCATATTGTAAACAAAAAGCCAGGTCTTTGAGTACCATTGTCATCTATATATATATAGACAAACAGCTGCAGAACTATACATGACATATGTACATATTTAATAATGATGATCATCGAATTGACAGAGATATGTATGTCATCACTGTAGAATCTGATAATGTTTTCTACAGTCTCCTCTATTAAAATGTTATATAAAACTAATTGAAATTTTATGAAATTAATTTAATGTGGACAAAAAAAAGACGAGTTTATATTTGATATATTGAATATGTCTCCTACGGAAACAATACGATAATAATAAAATAAAACTTTTCTCTTGTATGAACACCATCGAGACCGATACAAAAAGTGTTCACTTGAGGTAGGTGCACTTCCAGGGAAAATTAACTTTTTTCACTTGTCAAAAACATTTATTGTCAAAAAAGGTATGTATCAGTTTTATACTGTACTTTCAGATCGTTCTTTTTTTTCAAATAGGCAAAATATTTAATTAAATATTTGTTTCTACTAATATGTATACAATAGTATGCATCTCCGAAAGTTATTTATAGTTACTTTGCTTATTATTTAACCTTGGTAATACTTCAACTATTATAGAAATAAATCTACAACAACTATCTGATTGTAATCATAGAAATCTCATCATATATTATATTAATACTCTAAATAAATGTCATCTGTATTTCCGTAAGGTTGAAATGCCCCATCAATAATATGAAAAGCATCCTAACTATTAATACATTACTATATAGGTTATTCTTCTAATGACAAAATGCCTCATTTCATTTCTCGAGAAAAATATCTTTGTTAGTATATTTATGTATTGTATCTTAGTTGTTATTGCATGGCAAATTCCTTTTCCAGTTTATCAATTAACATTGAATGCATTTTTAACCAGATGCATATATATCATCATTCGAAATCGATGTAGATCATTTTTATATCATTTACATTGAATAATAAATTTTGAATAGTCATAAATTTTTCTAGATTAAAAAATTGTATAACTTCATGGTCCAATTAATCACGTGAGTTGGATGATGATGATGATCGATTTTCTAAAATTATACGCGTATGAAAACAATAAAAATAAGAATAAGTCTATAATAATAATTAGTAAATAAGTTGCCTAGAGAATATAAGCAAGAAAATAATTGATATATATAATATATCATTGAATGCGTCATTGTAGACATTGGAAAAACTGTTATTCAAAAGGAATTCTTACATCTTTGTTTTTTCTTATTATTATTATTAGCAAGAAAATCGTATGTAAAACTAAAAGATTGTAAGATAAATATTTTGTGTAATAATGATTTCTTAGAAAATAAAATCTCGTTAAGTAATGCAGAACTACGAAAAAGTTTTATTATAAAAACGAAAAAGCACTCGTTTCTTTACTGTGCTCTTAGACTTACATATGAGATCCATTATCATTGCTTCTCTCAAAGTAGTTCAAGTACATTCTTTCATAGTATAAATATTACTATCAATGTTTTCCTTAGTTTCTATCATAGTGGCTAATGAGTATATGAGTTTTGCATCATCACAATGTGAATATATATGAGTGATTGACACATAAAAGCATTTAGTACGGTCTACAAGATTTTACAATAGAATTGTTTTTATCATTAATTAGCCTAGTATTATGTACGAAATAATAAAAAATTCATATAAATGGGTTATCTCAAGAGAAATATGAAAAATATCTATTAAAATTGTTAGTCATTGTTTACATGTTTAATTTACAGTATACAAAAAAATTATTTAAAAAGAATGAATATTTGTATTTAAGTCATTGATAGATATTGATTGAATTTTTTTTAATACGATACGTGACCCAAACGAAACGATATGTATAGCAAAAAAATATATGTAATTAACAGTCGATATATAATATAGATTTTCTGCCAAATTTATCATTCATCAAGTATAGCTTGTCGATGAAAGTTTCTCAAGATAACATAGATATTTATATCTATAGAAGAAATATATAAGAATAAGATGGATGAACTTGTATTAGGGATAAGTAAATAAATAGCTAAAATACATCCATCTTTATTTTGTATATATATATATATATATATATGTATAATACGAAAATTATAATAATGAAATGTTAAAGATTTTTTTCTTTCTCTCGGATTATTTGCTCTGTTGATTTTCTTAAGTAAGCAGTCTACTTTTCGGATGTAACAATATGTAATTAAAAAAATAAAATAAGTAGCTTGTTAAAAATAAATATGTACGGAAGGCAAACATATTTTAATATATAATGATAATTAAAAAAGAAAAGCGTTGTTTAAATATATGATTTATCATAATATTTCATCGACAAAAATAAAGATTATTCTTTATTACTGTTTTTTAGATTAACCATTAGGAGTTAATGTTTCTATGTAGAATAATTTATGCATAAAATACTATTGACGTTGAATCATATTCTCAAATGAATCAATGCAAAAAATTTTGTCTCTGAAGTGATATACACAAGTTGAATTTGTTATTTTTAGTATAATTCAATTCTGATATTTTTCTTTTTAATGAGTAAATAATTCATAAACATTTATATATATATTAGTTATAATCTATCTTTATAACTTACCAGATGTTACATTATTTGTTTTCTCTAATAAGTCATCTCTAGTAACATTTAATTAAGTTAATTTTATTGATGAAGACACAGTTATTATAAAATATGAATAGAGCCATTAAGTATAATATAAATGATATATTACTTAGATAAGCGAACCGTAAAATTTAGCCTTAAGTTAAACTTTTCTTAATAAAAATAATTAGACTGATTTAAGAATAAAAATATTATATGCGTAATCGGCCACCTATACATAGAAATAACATTCGTAATAATAAACATATTTTTTATTTAAAGAAAAAGCAACGCCCTCTATGTTCAAACTGATCGGATTAGTTTATCGTGCGACCATTACACCTACATTATTTTCTTTTGCCTATCTTATAGACAAGGAATCAGCCGGGCGAACGATTATTCATTTTCTTGCTTTTGTTATTATCAGCAATAATGATTGAATATAGAGAAAGATCAATAGTACATTCAGATATTCAATGCATGATAAATGACTAACTGATTGAAGCATAGTTTTCTATATTGTTTTTCTTACTAAAGTAAGAAAATATGATTTTAGGTTTTTGTTTGTTATTATTATTTCTTTTCTATTTCTTTTTTATCTTAGAAAAATTAATATTTAATATCATAAAAGTGTCCCATGTTCCTAAAGAAAGACAATAGAACTTGAATGTAACCTTGTTAATGTTTTTTCTTCTTCTTCTTCCAAAACATATTATTTCTACATAAAAACAGATGATCTATCTAATAAAATTTGTTATAATTAATTATAAAAAAAAGAATAAGAATAAAAACAGAATATAGATAGATTGATTTAGCGACATAAGAGTGTCAGAATGTCGAAGACTAAATATCATCGTATGTGTTACATTCATCATCACAACATTACAGAATCCGTCGGTAGGTTGATTGCTTATGTTCGACGGAGAAAAAGGGAGGAGAGGATGTTGAGAAGAATGTGTAACGATTGTTCGTGTCCTTTTTCTTTTTTTTTTCTCTCTTTTTTCTTGTAACATGCTTCTTCTTTCATCTATTTTCGCCAATCTTATATATGATACCATGGTAAAGTGCACAAATGAATGAAGTGGAGCATTTATAAATACCCGATAACCTATACTTTATTAGTAAACTATTAGAAAAAATAACAAAGCATTTTCAATTGTATGTTTCATTTCTCGTTTTTTTTGTATGTGTAGAAATAAAAAAAAAGAAAATGCATGTGTTAACCTCGAATATGTCATTGAATTTATCGATATAGAAATTCTTTCATCCAAACTAACAAATAGTATCTTACCTTGAAAAAATGTAAGAAATGTCAAATTTAACTTACTTATATTTTTAGATAATTTCAATGTTTTTTTTGTTGTAAGTACGAATGAACGACCAAAACGAATTATCAGTTCGTGGTCCGATAACACTTAAATTTACTGGTGTTGATGATGAATCAGTATCAGAAGATGATGATGATGATAATAATGATATAACAACACATACATCGAATTCGATTTTATTTACAAGTAATACAGATACTCATAATCTCACTGTTAATAGCTGCCATGGTAAAGAGAAAAAAACAAATATTGATTTTTGTTCTTTCTTTTAAAAATTGTTTTTTTTTCTTTTGTATTTTTAAGAAAATAATAATTCAAATCATTGTCGTAATCAATTAACATCAATTCCATATAAAATATATTTTGAACAACGTGAACGTCGTTGGATATTTATACCAAATACAGATGTAGTGGTTGTTAGTGTTGCTGTTAGTCGTGAACATCATTTTCGTCTTAATCCATTTTTGTAAGTAATTGATTTAACTATCATTTTGTTTTTAGGAATGTCGCTTTCTTTTATTGATAAAGTTGTCGAAGACAGTTAAGTTCAGATGAACAGAATTGGCTTGATCGTTTAAATAGCAGGTAGTGAGAATTGGGAAAACGTTAAAGAAATACACTCACCCATATAAAATGCTTTCCATAACGACTGATTTTGCTTTTTTATTTTTTTTATTGATATTAATAATAATTTTATTCTAATTTTTGTTTTTTTGTATATATAAATATTCTCTTTTTTTCATATTTTAAGATATACAATCACATTACGACATGGAGAATTCAATTGGACAATCACAAAAAAATATAAAGATTTAGTTATATTTTTTGAACGTATGAATGTATTTCAAAAAGCTGCTGCTCTACCTATTCCGACCACTTCGTATGCTTAAAAAAATAATCGTTATTCGATATAAATATAAATATATATTTATTTATTTATTTATTCCCTAGACATCGTGAAATTCGTCGTCAGATGTCCCATTCACAAGCTATACAAGGTTTAACGCTTAAACCTGATATGTTGGTTGATGATAACGATATTAATGATCGAGAAGTAATAATAAAAAGAAGAAGAAGGAAGAAAAAAAAATTATTTATTTAATTTTTAGAAACTTGTTGCTGAAAAGTTAAATTCAATTGTGAATCATCCCGTTCTTTCACTTCAAAGTGAATGTGTAAATATAATCTTAAACAGTTCAAAACTTAATCTTATTGAGTCCTCTTTTCTAGATCAAATTTGTTGAATCGTCTCCATTATCATTTATGCGTGAATTAGGTCGTAAATATAAAGAAGGTATTGTAAAAAAGAATTCCGGTGGTTATAGAGGAGGTTGTTGTGCAAATATTGGTGCACGTATAAAATGGCTTAAACGTTGGTTAATTACAAAAGATTCATGGATTGCTTATTTAAATCCTAAAACTGGTCATGTACGCGCTATTATGCTTGTTGATAAATTCTTTCATGTACGTACTGGCCGTCTTCATACCGGTTCAGTTAAAAAATTATATATCTCAAATTTATCTCGGTAAGATTTTGAATAAAAACAAATTTGAAATTTATATTTTGCTAATTTTTTTAAAGTCGACTGTATCTAAATTGTCCAACTGAACGTAAAGCAATTGAATATTTTGATGATATAAATCGTATGTTAAAAACAACTGGTCAAGATTTTCATATTGAACATAGATTTAATTCATTTGCACCTATAAGAGGAAATACAAAATGTCAATGGCTTGTCGATGGTTCTGATTATATGGAAGCTGTTGCTTATGCGATTAAATCAGCAACAGAAGAGATCTATATAACTGATTGGTTTCTTAGTCCAGAAATTTATCTTAAACGTCCAGCTTTATCTGATGAATGGCGTTTTGATAAAATGTTAGAAAAAAAAGCAGTAGGAAAAATAAAATAAGTTGTTTTTTTTATTTCTAATTAATTCTAACTAATTTAGAATGAAGGTGTAAGAATCTTTGTTTTACTATATAAAGAAGTTGAATTAGCTATTGGAATAAATAGTTCTTACTCAAAAAGAAAATTAATTGAAGCTCACCCACAAAATGTTAAAGTTCTTCGTTATCCAGATCATACAGGACAAAATGCCGTTTTATTTTGGGGACATCATGAAAAATTAGTTATTGTTGATCAAAGCATTGCGTTATTTGGAGGGTTAGATTTATGTTATGGCCGATGGGATAATTATCAGCATTTGTAAGTAGTATATTTAATATTTAAAATATTTGATTTTGTTTTTCTGCTTTTTAGATTAACTGATTTCGGAAGTGCATTACCGGTGAAACATCATACAAGTCAAAGTGTGCCCAGAACACATAGTGTTCCATTAGTAAGTTGAGGACAATTTTATATTTGAATTCAAAATCGAAATTAATTATAAAACAAATTCTGTGTAGTATTTCTCTAAAGAGTTATTAAAGTAATAAGATCTGATGACATTCTGTCATTCATTTTTCCAATTGAATTTTATCGATGTTTTGCAAATTCTGATAGAAATTTAACGGTTGAAATAATTCGCCTGAGTATAGATGAAACATAATTATCTAGTAGAAAGATTATACATAAATTTTATCTACATAAAATTATTTAGATTCATCCAATAATTCAATCACCCGTATCGATTGATGCACTTGATCTTGATGGTGCAACATGTAATCGTTTTATTCATGCAAATAATCATATTGAACCATTGACTGAGCCTACTCCATCACCATCTCCTCGTCCGATAACTACAACTGATATGTTTATTCCACCAAAAATCGCTCAATTTCGTAGTGAATATCATCTTAAAGATCGTCTTAAAGACGTTCCTACAAGTGAATCGACTTCACATACTATAAATGATAATCCGATACCATTATCACCTAATCGTTCAATATCGAAAGTACTCAGTGATCAAACATTTGATACAATTGATCGAACAATAACACCAACACGACGTTTTTCATCATCAGATATTGATCAACAATCAGTTCATTTAGT